CCTGATACGTAAAACCATAGAACTCAAAGAGGGTGTACTTTCTTTTTCACACAACTCTATATGCACACATACATATGCACACACACACACATGCATACACACATACAACCCCTGCCTTTTATTCAGGGGTTCAAGGCGGTGGTCAGTGTTCTCTCCTCCACACAAGAACCCTACATGGCTGAGAGAGAATGACTGGCCCATAACCACCCAGTGACCCTCTGTGGCTGAACCTGTGTCTCTCCCCCCACCCGTCCCTGCCCTTTACTGACACTTAACCACTATATCACACTTCCATGGTTTTCTATTCCTGATTTAACCTTAATGTGTGAACTCTCTTGAAGAATTCAGCAGCAAAAAGGTAGAAGTTTGGAAATAAAAAAAATCAAGTAATTGCACAAGGTACTATGGAATACAAAAAATCAAAATAGGAAATAATTAAGCTTTTGTAATTCATGATCATGGTGAAGCAGAGATTCAAGTCTATGAGCTAAATTCCATCCCAAAGCCACCGTGCTAATCCAGACATAGAATTATACAGCTGGAAGAGACCATTTAGGCCAGAGTCCAATCCTTTCTCAGTGCAGGAATTCATAATAAAGCCTCCCAGACAGACAGCTGTCCAGCCTCTATCCAAGCACATCCATTGAAGAAGAAACCACAATTTATCTGGCTCGTTGGTTCCAGTGTTAAACAGTTTTGGTGTTTTTTGTTTTTAAACTTCAATTGGAATCTGCTTTCCTGTAACTGAAATCTATTGTTCCATGTCCTATACTCCAGAATGAAATAGAAGTCCTATTTGATATTCTTGCAGGCTTTTGAAGAGTTTCTAGTTCTCCGATCCTCTCTGTAGCCCTTGTCTGATCCTCTGTTCTGATTTCTCTAAATCTTTTTTTTAAGTGTTGTGCCCAGACCTGGACATAGCAATTGAGGTAGAGGCTAGCAATGAAGAATAGAATGCAGTGATTACTTCCAGTGATTTGGAAATGATACTTCTGCAGCCTAAAACTGCATCTGCTTTTTTCCCCACATTACACTGCTTGCTAATATTCAGTTTGAAACTACTATTTGAAGAACTAACCAAGCCAGACATCCCCCATCCTATACCTGTTTTTGGTTTTTCCTATGTGAAAAACTTTGCACGTCTCTCCATTAAATTACACTATTTTTAGCCCAATTTTCCACTATATTATTATTTTTTTAAATCAATCTTCCAGGGTATTAGCAATCTTATGGAATTTTGTTTCATCTGCAAATATGACTAGCATCCCCTCAGACCTCTTCATCCAAATCATTAATGAAATTATAGAAGACAGAGGACTCAGAACTGATCCCGTGGGATCCTTTTTAATACTCCAATTTAATGAGAAACTCTTTGAATACAATTTTCAAGCCAGCTACATATTTATTTAATAACCATGCCATCCAGCTATACTTAACTAGTTTGCTTATCAGCATGTCATGGGGGGGATTTTGTGAAATAAAGTCAATATATGTATGTCCACAGCATTTCCACAATCTGTTAGGGAAGATACGTAATCAGAAAATGAGATTACTCTGGCAAGATTTGTTCTTGGTAAATTGATACTGATTTCTAGTGAAGACTGTAGTGTCTTCAAGGTGTTTACAGATCAAGCTCTTTAATTACATGCTGTAGAATCCACCCAGCTATTGAGATCAGACTGATTGCTCTTCAGTTTACTGGATCCTCTTTTTGCTCCTTTTCAAAGTTAGGGACATTTGTTCTCCTCCAATTATCTGGCAGTTCACCAGTTTTCCAGGAGTTCTGAAAGATGCTGGGAAACTTTGATACTGGATTTGAATGTTAGTAATTTGCATTGGTTTGCTGTGCTGTTTTAGTTTATATTGTTTGATGTTGGCACTTAAAAGCCCATTTTGGAACTGAAACTACTGTATACCTCCCTAAACCTGCAAAGCTAAAAATTGCAATCATCTCTGCTAGCCGATGAGAAACAGGAAACCACAAAGAGCTGAAAGTCTACAGAATTTCAAGGATACAGAAAACGGGTGAAGACTGCAGCCCAGGAGGATGAAATTTACCCCTACTCTCAGAAAATTACTGAGTTGCCTGAAGTGGACATAAGTTACACAGCACATCTTGACAAATCCTGAGGTGAGGGCTACCGAGATAATCATTCTGGGAGAAAAGAAGCAAAGATCAGGCAAAATACAGAGTCAGGAGGAGGAAAGGTGGGATCATTGGCCTGGATACAAGAAAATAAAAGGTACTGTGTTTCAGCTAGAGCCTGCAGGACACTCCATCCTTGCTTGTACTCTAGTCACATGTTCAACCTTGCACCCCACTTGTTTTCTGCACCTGCAACTCACCTTGCTGGGAATTAACAAAGGATTACCACCCAGCCTGATCCTGCATCTTGGTAACTTACTTCTGCTTTTAAGTATAAAGGGCTTTTCTTTCTTACCTCTGTACTTGTCATTTACATTGTTTCCACGTATAACTGCTTGCTTGCAATTTCTGTAAAGATTGAATAGTTACAACTCCCTGGTTTCTATTAATAACTTTGGTTGTAATTATGCCATAAGAGGAGGAAGTGGTGGTTAGAAAACTTTTCCATGTCTGCACCTGTCTGAGTGCAGATGTCCAAGCAGCTTCTACTCAGAACTGATCCAACTGATTATAAGAAAAGTGAAAGTAATTAAATATTCTGGTTTTCTTGGTGGCAGATTATCTGCAGTGAGACATGGTTAGTTGAACATGGTGAGGTGGAAATGCTCTTTGTGCAAAGCACATCATAATAAATTGAGCTAAGTGTTTATTAGGCAGCCCCAAAATTAGTTGAATGATTTGAGTGTGAGCACTGGAAATCCACCACTGGCATAGCTTTAACAGTAAAGCATACATTTGCCTTCTTCATCAATCAGCTGCAATACTGATTCTGTTCTGTTCACTTAGCATCCTTTTCTCATTTCAGCTTATTTTGAGCTTTTGCTTTCTTGAAACTAACTCTTCAGTTTGGGGCTAGTCAATTTCTTCCTGTATGTCTTTGATCTCAAATCTTCATTGAGGCTTTTGTGCAGCCCCGTCATCATTTTCTTCTGTCCTCCAGTTTTTCCTCAATGGGATTACTTGTCATTAATATTTCTTTATGAACTCCTATCATCTTGAGCTTCTTTTCCCTTTACCTTCCTACATATCACTGCTTTGAATTCATTAAAAGTTGTGACTTTTAAGTCCAAACTAAGAGGAACAGTTGTGAAATGGGTGGCCATATAAATTGATCTAAATAAATAAAAAGGCTTAACCACTCCTTTCTCTTAAAATTAAGAACCTCAGTATTACAGTCACTTCTCTTCAAAGTTCTTATACTTTCTCAACTAAATCTTTATTAAATAGTAATAGATCAAAGACAGCTGATCCTCTTGGCATTCCTCTACTCTTTGAAGGATAAAATTGTCATTAAGACAAGTCAGGAATCTCCTGGAAGGGCAATGTTTGACTTTCTAGTCTGCCAGCCAATGTTGCAGTAATTAAAGTTATTACTTTATGCCTCTTTGAAAGATTTCCAATTTGCTTTTAGAAAAGCATCACCCAAATATTATTTATTTGGTGATAGTAAAATCCAACAATAGTTTTATTTGCTTCTGAATTTACTTTAACCCAGATACTCTCTACAGTATAATCAAGCCCTTTCATTTGAATTTGTGAACAGAGATGGGTATTTTTAATAAACAAGGTACCTCCTCAAACTTGAGTAATCTCTATCCCTTACAGGATACAATTTACAGCACACTGAACCTCTTAGGCCTAAGTGATGGTGGACCTCACAGGCCTACATCAAAGAAAGGAGATGATGAAGACATCTGCCAAGAACATATGTGACAGCAGATGATAAGCTAGTAGGCATGGCCTATGGACAAAACCTAGATAAGGTATTAAGAACATGGAAACAAACTGCTCCTTCCTAGAGTAAAGGAGGATAATTTCCTAGAACAATTTAAAGCAGTGGAGAAATCAAGCAACACTAATTATTTGCATTCTTGGCAAACTGCCTGTCAGCCCCACAAGGTAGACAAGGCTTGAAAAGCAATTCCACAGGAAGATTAGAACTACAGTTTATTGGTAGGCTATAACAACAAATCTTGCAAGTTGGACTGTGCTTTTTCTCTCTTCTCTCTTATACCCCAGTGAATCAGGGAGGGGCCAACCTAAGTCTTTTAATATTATCTCTGTTCTCAGGACTTAGGGAATGCTTTTGTTCTTTTTGCTTACATAACAGTTTCTGAATATTTATTTCAAGGCTTCCTCCCTGGCTTAATACACTGCCAAAGTAAATATCATGTTTATTTGCGAATTATTGTATAAAGATGCATATTGACCTGATTGCAGAAAGTTGGTATTTTATCTTATACATGCCTTCCACTGCTATAGAAAACGGCACAAATTATCAGATTCTCACATTTCTTTTCCTGGATCTTGCCTTTAAACAAGACAGGCCTTGCAAATTCATCTTAAGAATTACCTATTAGAAATCAGATGTTCACAGGAAATTAGGAAATTCATGTTATGCCTAAGCTTTTTATTTTGGGAATATCATTTCATGCAGGTTATGGAGGTTAAACATTGTGTTATATTCAATAGTGGAAGACCTATAGTTTTATCTCAAAACAAATATATATTATTTTTTTCCTGAAAATGCACAGGTTTTAGATTGCTCCATTCTGTTACCTCACAAAATCTATTTTATTATTTTATGTTTAGATTAGTTTTGTTTTTATTTCAATCCTAAAAATAAGTGGGGTATATGGAATGGGTAAAAAAAAAGCAATGCTGAGTCTGCAAAACAGAAATTATTTGGTATCATCTGTGACTATGGAAGATACCTACTATTACTTGGGTCAAATATCTTTAGGATTGCGCTATGATAATTCTATTGGAGCAAAGGAACATTTTCTCACTGAAGGGATATTTTACCTATAGGATTTCAGCACTGAAGCTCAATAGCCTCTTCACTGGAAGTATGCAGAATAGATATTACTTTAGTCCTTTGTTCACTTTGTAAATTGATTCTGTTATCACATCAAATGAAACATACAGGAAGTACTAAGGCAGTAAGAATTCTCCCTTGCCAAGTAAACAGTTCTGCTCTTGGGCATTTGAAATAAACCATCTTTGTTTTTATAAGCAGTTTCAGTTTACTTATTGAACAGTACAAACCATATCTGTGGGGCTAAGATAAGTACCAGTTCCCTTTTGCACCATACTCAAAAGTGTTTGCTGTGCATTAGGTTGATTCTGAAATTATTATCTGAAGTACTGTCATAAGGTAACTCTGTTTTGAACCCATTTCTGGTCTTAGGATAATTTCGGATTTTCCTCTGATCCTTCCAGAAGCATGATCTGCTGAGAACAATGTAAGAACCATTATTTCAACAAATCTTGATTATTTCTTTCAACAACATCAAATGTAATATGACATTTATGGAACTTAACAATTATCAGTTCAATGCAGAAGTTTATGAATCAGTAAACTAATCCACTGGGATGAATAAAGAACTTGGATTTCAATTTAATGGGTTTTCATGTGACAGCTGAAGCAGTATGGGAGCAACTGGATAAAAAGAAATACTATCAATTTTAAACAAAGAACATGCCCTAAAGGACACTAATGCTTTAAAAATTTATCAGTGATTTGAATTACATAATAAGCAAAAATATAGCATGATTTGTACTTAAGACAATGTAGCCATATGCTTGCTAAAAAAAACAACTGGAATGTACATTTCTTATTTTGGTTAGGTAAAGATATCATTCTCAAACTATTTCCTGTATAACTCCTTACTAAATTTCAAGGTGCCTAAATTGAATCTTCAAAATCCCATTAAAGGTATATTTCATTGGAGCTGCTAACTAGGTTATTTCATTTATTACTTCTACAATTTGGCATCAGCTATTAGTCTGTCATTGCAGGAAGTGCAATTTAACAATAAATCAGTCTGAAGGACATATATCTTGAGGATACATACCATATATATATATTTAAAAATAATCATACTTTTGTAAGCAATATTTACAGTAGACACCTCAATTCTACCATATATATGTAAAACTTAAAAACAAGAAAATTTTACGCTCTAATCTTTATACATATATTTATATTCAGTTTTATATATATTTATATATATTTATATATATATATAATATATATACACACACGCAAAAGAGTATATATAAAATATATATAACCAGATTTTTAAAAAATCAACAATAATGGGGCCATGTACATAATTTTTTAAAACTCAAACAATACAAAACTTTAAACATTAAACAATTTTAATAAAAGTTTCTGTACAATGCTAAGCAGTTTTATTTACATATAGAAAATGTAATAGGAGTAGTGTTTGAAATTACAGAACTCCTTAAAATTTCAATGGCAGGTAATCTGGAAAAAATAACAGCATTCCATTCACAAATATTTTCAAGCAATAAATATGTATTTATAAATAGTGTAAATTTACATCAAGATTAGAAACAAAATCACAAATCTGAAGTTTATTCTTTAGTCTATGTGCAACCCATTTATCTTTGTGACTTGGCTGTTAATTTTTTAAAATTTTATTTAGGAAACAAAAAGTAACCATCATGGTTTCAAAACAAGACAGAATAACATAAAAGCAGTAGAAAAAAAGTATCACCTAAGTTTCACATTAAAAAAAAAAGTAGCCCAAAGAAAGACATAAAATTCTAACTACCTTACACAGAAAGGACCAGCTAAGCCAGTACTTTTCCAAGAAGAAGGAAATAAAAATGTTTGAAGAGGAGTCAGGTAGGGAAATTGATGAAACCAATTCATCAGCCCAGAAACAGAGAAATAGAAAAAAGGTGGTCTTCAAGTCAGTAGTCTGTATAATGGTGCCAGTTTTGTCAGATATATACAAAACATGGGATTTTTTTTTCCAATTCAGCTGAATGAGCTTTCTATTTTTTAAAATTCTGGAGTAGGAGCTGTGCTCTCTCCTGTCCAGTTGGTTGACACTCCACACTTGGAAGGTTGCATAGACACAGCTTTCAGCCAGCAGCCTTATGGGATCGCTACAAAAATCCGTGGTGCAGAACTGGGTCACTTCCTGAATATCAGAAAAGGTTTTATGTAAATGTCCTTGGAAATATGTCAAGATGAAGATGATGGCAATGGAGGTGCCTGAAAAGAGAAAACACATCACATTTACCTTAAAAAAAACCAAAAAACCCCAAACCCTGATATGTGGCAAGTGTCCAGTCCATACAGATGATATTGACCTCACCTATAGTATTTTTTGAAAAACTATTCTGGATGCTGCTCCACTGGAGTTTTTCAAAATACTTTACAATTTCAGTGCTGACAAAGTTTATGAACCTTTTAGAACTATCTGCAATCCTGAACTAGTTTAACCCATAATGCAATTAGAGCTTCATCTAAAAGCTATTAACAGAATCTGATTAAACAAAGAACACACAAAATGGCGTACTGTACTGTGACATGTGCAAACATATTCATTATCTCTTTGCTGGAAAAAGGATAATCAACTCCTAAGGATTAAGTTGAGTTAAGTGTTCTAATTTATGAGATGACCATCAGATGCAAGTTTGAGGGGCCCCACTCCATAAGACACACACACACACACACATATTTTGGTTGTCACCATCAAAGTGTGCTCTTCTTGACATATTTCTGGAAGTGAACTGTGCTCCAATTAAATGAGATCTCTGTAGACCTCAAAAACATATTGTCAATGCTCACAAGACTGAAAAGAGATACAAACCCATAGCCAAAACTATGGTCTCCATCAGTTCAGTCTGTCTGACAGTATACAAATGGAGAAAAAGTAACGTCACTATTACTCTTCTCAGGACCAGTACTTCAATAAAAATCACCCCAAGAGCAAGGTGTACAATACTCCAAGAGGCCAAAGAAAACTCCAGGGTGATGGCAAAAGATCTGAAAGCTACCAGAGTGATGTATTCATGGAATGATACCAGGAAGGCAATCCCTGCTGGATGATCCAGCAGGCTATTGGAACAATGTTCTGTGGACAGAGGAGATGAAAATGATACTTTTTGACATGAATGAGAAACATTGTGTTTAGAGAAAATAATACATTCCATTCCAATAAAAGAACCTCATCCCAACAGTGAAGCATGACAGTGGGAATATTATGGTTTGAGGCTGCTTTGCAGCCCCAGGACTTGAACAGCTTGCCATCGTTGAGAAAACAATGGATTCGAAACAGTACCAGAAATTTCCACAAGATAATGTCATGATATCTATCTGTCAGCTAAAGCTTAAACCAATGTGGATCACACAGCAGGACAAAAATCCTGAACACACAAAGCACAATTTTTACATTTTGGAATGACCGAGTCCAAGCCTTGATTTTAATTCAAGATACTGGCAAGGCCTAAAGTGAGTAGTTTATGGAAGACAGTCCAAAAATATCAATGAGTTCAAGCAGTTTTATAAAGAATAATGGAGCAAAATACCTCCAAGTCAGTATGTGGGAATGATCAACAGGTAAAGAAACATTAGGTTGAAATCTGCTACATGGGGTACCATCACTACTAAATCAAAAGTTTCACCTACTTTTCCCAAAACAAGCAGTGAATATTGGCTTAATATGCTCTATGTGTTATTTTTCTAACCAGAATCTCTGTATATGTTAATAGGACTTTGATGAAGCTCAGATAACACTGTAGGTCAGAGTATTGTAGGATTATGCGTTAATGCAGGATTCTAAAGAGTTCACAGTTTCTCTAATCCCCAGAATCAGAGGG